GCGATTGGTTGGATTCACCTGAAGTTACAGTGGATTCATTAAAAGTTACAACGGATTCGCTTGAAGTTGAAATGTATTAAGGCGAATACTATACCATACTAAATCATATTTAATGTCACATCCTGGTCTTCGGAAACGCACGCTTCTATCGATCTACTACAACTATGGACGAAGAAGTCAAAAGGCGGATAGAAACTGTTACGTTCGGATTTCAAACAGCGTCGTCTCGGACCCGTCGCCCGCTAGCAAAGTAGAACAACAGTACGCAGGATAGGATAGATTTACTGTGATTTGTTCTCAATCAATCGTGTCAAACGAATGTTCAACTAGGCAGAAACAGAACTAACAGCCAATCAGGATCGGGCCCATGTCGGCCGGAGTATTGGCATAGGCAAGTGTGTGAGGTTGATCGATCTGAGTAGATGTCAATCAATAACGTCTGTCGAACGTGCAAATTATCGATACGCAGACTGGCAGAACGTACGCACTTAAGCCGCAGGCACGTATGCGACATAAATATCAGTGAGTAATTATCTCTTGATTTTGACATGCCATGTGTTTATGTCACTTCTTCCTCGGTATTATTAATTATAGAGAATTTCATTAGGAGGCACACATACACTGACTCTGGTTGCGAAGTTTTTAGTCGGTCTTCTTCTATTGGTGCAGAGCAAAGTCTAGTTCAGGAATTCGGGGTGATCAAACAAGTAAATTGGGATAATAATCTAGGCGCCGATATCCTCTCTTAATACGAGAGCAGGAAAGGTACGACCAAGAACAAACTATGCGTATTGGACAATACAGTGGATGACTAGTAGTCCTAAGCTACCACCAACACCACTGAGGTTCTTCGATGAATGTCCTTTAAAGTTATACAAATCGAGAGACACACAAAAAACCCGAACGCAAGAGGCTTCTGCGAACACTGAGTCGGCATTAAGATGCATTTGCACGGTCCAAATCGGAAGTGAGGAGTACAAGCGCAGTTATCCACCAAGTAGATTCCGGACGTACGACTATAAGTAAAAGGAATCCAAACGAGTTCGCGTGCAGTACAGGTAACAAATGGACCATTCATTAGCGGATATGAGTGATATATAAGTGATATAAGTGATTCGACTATGAAGATTACTACTGGTAGTAATGATTAGAAAAACAAGGATCCTTGAAAACGTTATTCGCGAAGAAATTTCTTTTCGATATATCGCTTCAGGCGTTTACATATATAAGATGATCATAGTACAGTTGTCTGATTGGCCGATTAGAGCTCAGTTAGCAACAACGACAGGGGAGAGCAAACAGAGCAAACGAATATGACAAGGCCAATGATAGTCGTGGTTGGGGGGTGAGAATACATAGGTCAAATGGACAACGTTCGAGAGATAAACAAATAAATGAAGGTTGTGAGCTAAGACGAGAGAGTGGGATGATGGAGTTACGTAATATGCGGCAGAAGCTATAAGTCATGCATAGCAAGTGATGTAATCAGGAAGGGACATTAGAGACAAAAACAAAATAATTGGTTCTTAAGATTGAGGTTGATGATACTAGATGAGGAAAGGGGGTTGGGGAGGGGCTGGGGGTTGATGATCGGTTTTATGCACAATGAATCCGCTGTCCAGGCCAGGGAAACAACAGTGTCTGGACCAGATTTGTTTTGCTTACGTAATTCTGGCTTGAAAATGCGAATTGCGATTGCCTAGCGGCGGTGTTTAAAAGCAGCCCTCTTATCCCCTTGGAATATCTCCGGGATATAGTGTGAATAATTTTGAATACATCTAATTTGTTCACAAAATGCCAGCTAGCGACTAGATGACCGAGAACCGAGCTGCGAATACATCTGACAGCTCCTTTGTAGAGGGCCACAGGACAGTGCTCAGTAATACGCTTTGATAGTCACCTGGTCGTATTGTAACGAGAAGGCGAGCTGGTTGGGAAAACGTGTATTGATCCAATTCAAAAACGACCGGTGTACGCGTTCAATTATATGCATTCAATTCTTAACCGCGCGGCAGGATGATTCATGCCTCTTTCTTTTGGTCAATCCCTGCTGGTTTTGGTCTGCACTTGGCACTTACGTTGCCTCTTCTTCCGCGTGCCGTTCCGGCTGGTTTGACCCGATCGTAGCGTGAGATACGTTGATCGACAGCTCCGATGTAGTGGCATTCAGTGTATATCGTTATGGTTAGCTGAGGATTGTCTGTTGGGATGTAATTGTCGATTCGTTCGTTTNTCAACATTGTCTCTCGAAGTACTTCCAGCCGCTACGTCTGCGCGTCTGGTTCGATGGGTCCCATTCTTGATTCGTTCGCTAGTAGGGGCCCTCTTTGTACCACCTTCCATCACAGTATGTCCACTGTATTGCACACTACAAGTGCACGTGAAAAGATATAAAACGAAGAATTTGGACTGAAGAGGAAACTTAT